TCTTTGTGGAGAAATGTCGACCATCATACTGATGGATGCCTTTATTCCTTCTAATCTGCTTTTGTCTGGTTGACTTCTACTGTACTAGAGCTCCCATTGCTAGGCATTATACTTAGGAAAACTGCTTGCTTGTTGTTTTGCTTTGTTTTGTTTTTTGTTTTTTTTAAAAAAAGAAGTGGGGAAGAAGGGGGGGGAAAGGGTTTGTGAGCCTATGGTGAACTTAATTAACATCACTGGAGGGACAGCAATAAAGTACTTAACAGGGCTATAGTAAAACCTTGCAAGACATGAACGAGTCAAAATATTATTGACATATTCAATTATTTGCAGTTGTGGGGGTTTTGTTTTCTCTGACGACTCCTGAAAATAATAAAGCACTTAAAAGTTCCGCTTTCACTTGGCTGACCTAGCCCTCTTGCAGCAGCACAGTGTGTTACCCCGGGAGGGAGCTGAACCAGAGCCAGTGCGGGGCGAGGAGCGCTGAGAAAGCAGTACACACAGTCCCTCTGGAGGGGAGCAGCTCACATTCATCTCTAGGGGCTCTTCCTGCCTGGCCTGTATTATTTATTTTACTATTATTAGCATTTCTGAGACACCAATCACTATGGTAACTCTGTGCCCGTAATAACTTTGCATTTATGTGATTTTCTTCACCAACAGTTTCTCTGTACTTCACAGTTCCTGATTACTTTCACCCTGCACGAATGGCCCATTGCACTCTCTAGGTTATTAAACCTGAGGACTTTTTAGAGATGGGAAGGCTGAGGTGCAGAGGTTTTAAGGGATGAGTCCTTATGGGTCTCCTCACTCCTGGACCTTCCTCTCCAGGATAAATCTGCATTTCAGCTTCTTTCCCTGGATTCCTAGAGGTGCATTGCGATAGGGACTTAAGCCATCAACCCCTTGTAGGCTTCATCTTTCTCTTTAAATTGTGCCTATCGCTTTTCTGCTGCTTGCTGAGCCTTTGAGACCCAGTGCTGGGAGCCAGGGAAGGCTTTGGCTGACTGATCTTGATGAAAATGTTTCTCACAGCTCTTCAAGACTGCATTTTGCCCCAGCCTTGCATAGACTGACATAGCGAGCATCGTGACCCCATGGCAAATGTAAAGAAGGACTGTGGGAGGACTTCAGTGGTCGTGCAGCTCAGCTGTGCCCCCTGCCAGCCTCAGAGATGCAGCCAGGCCCGGCTCCGTGGCATTCAGCATCGGAGAGGTTTGCTGAGGGACCACAGTGATGATCCACACAAACCTGCTGGCAGGTTAGCTGGGAACACCTCGGAGGAGAAACCCCACGCACGGCCAGATCGCAGGGCAGAAATCTCATCCTTGTGTTTCGCTTCAGTTTGTAGCAGCAGCCGGGACTCTGTGGTTGCAGACACCCACTGGCACAATAGTGTCATTTTTAATCCTTTTAATATTTCTCTTTTTAAGAGCATCTTAGCTCGGGGGCCACATGGAGGCTGAATGGCAGGAGGCCTGTAAGCTCTGGGGTTGTGGGAGGGGGAAAGACACAGTCTGCAGCAGTGCCAGTATGCACATCACAGGAAGAATTATAGTTGATTTTCACATATATCTATAACATCTGTGTGGCTAATAAAATTGATGGAGTTTGTCATAATCAGCCTGTACTCTCCAGTGAGAGAATTATGTCTGAGCATTTGGAAATCTCATGCACAGGCAGTTACTGAGGGAATGCTGTGAAGATTAAGTTGTTTCTGCGTGGCAATGGATACTCAGGCTGAAATGCGGTGCTCGCTTCTGAGCTGCTGAATGGGTTCTCAGGAAGAGCATGTTGTTAAAGGTATTTGCTAAAAAAACCTGTGTTTGTGTGGGTGCCTGATGTCACAAGTGTGTATTTACAGGCATGCAGTTGCACTGGGGTAGTAGGTTTCCAGTGCAACCAAAACTAATCCCAGAAATGCTGCATGGAACAGCCCAGCTCCCCAGAAGGGCAAAGTCCCTCCAGAACAACATAAAGGCACTGCTCTCATCTCCAACCAAACCCTCACCCTGGCTTTGTAGAAAATCACACAGTAACATTTTGTAAAAGGTTACTTAGTGTGCTACTTGACATGGTTTTTTTTTGGTTTTGTGATGAAGAGTTGGTAAAATCCACGTTCTGTTGCTGGATCAAATGTAATCAGGAAAAAAATGGACAAATAATGCTGCGATGACAAATTCCGATCACATTTGTTTTATAAGCAGAGATAGTTGAAATTTCATATGTGATGGATTGAAAAACAGTACTCAAGAGGGATTCATACATTCTGTATTTATTTACTGCATTTTGTTGGCTATGGGCTTAAACAAAATTGGTTTTGCATCCAAAATGTAATCTGAATGCCTGTGAACACAAGAAGGCAGATGAACACAAGTCATTTGGGCATCCAATTCCTTTCCATGTGCATGTAAACACTTCTTGAAATATCAGAGTGGGCAACATTTAAGCAGTCTGTTAAAAATACCACCTCTGATTTTTCAAGATAATGACTTGATTTGCTATAAATCTGGAAAATGTGTATTTCTGACTGTGGCAGTTCTGTATCTTCTGCCTCTTCATCGCCTTGTCAGTGCTGTGGCTTAGAAAACCTCCTGGAGCAGAGTGTGATATTGCTCATTTGGGTTCGGAAGGAATCCAAACCAGATGAACCTCTTTCGTAACTCCCCTGTCTTTCTGGGATGGATATAGCCATTCCTGCCCCACCTTTTGAGAGACTTTTGGGGTCTGACCCAAAACACATAAATTTCTGAGGATTTCAGCTCAAAATCACATTGCTGTAAGAAACAAGCACTGAACTACCATTTAAAAGTGAGTGTAAGACTTTTATTGTTTTAGATCCAGTGATAATAAAGGCAAAAAAATGCATTGGATTAATAATGTTCCTACCTTGAAATTTAATTTAAAATCTCTTGTAATGTAATCACATTTGGGTGTGCCATTACCCAGATGGAGAGAAATTTGTTTTGTTGAGAAATTGCTTTAGCATAAGAATGACTTGAGTTTATTAACAGGGAAAAAAAAACATGACTCCCCTCCCCAGCCACTCCCCATGCATTCCAAAAATAAGAAACTCATTTCAACATGGACATTACTGGTTAAAAAATAATTACACATAATGAAATGTCATATTTCACACATACTCCCTGCAACCCATGCTTCTTAGTCTTCCCCAAAACACTGCAGGGTGTAACCGGCTCTTTCTTCCTCCTCCATGAAAAGAATATTTCACAATGGAATTGTGCGATGACAAAAAATGGTGCTGGAAAAGCATCACTACCCAGAGAGACATAAGGAATTGCCACAGGCCACTGCCTATAATCCCACACAATATTAAGTAGTCATTGTATCTCTTTCCAAGGCTTCATTCTTCTTTTGTGACCTACAGCCTCAATGAGAGTTTTTTACAGAAATAGAACGCCACGGAACAGCAAATTTGGGATCCCTGTCATTTGACAAAAAAAAATGTTTGGCTTAGAATGGTGTTTTCTTTTAAATGTATCTTTCAGCCGCTGTCATTAAAATTGTTAAACGGCATTAGAAACGTGTTTTGTCAATTACCTTGGGGACAAGTATGAAATACAGGGCTGTTAAACGTGTGCCACAAAAAATAAACTGCACAGTGCGAGTGCTGCAGGAGGAACGTCCGCAGGGCTGGACTCGTGTCGGCTCACCTCAGCTCCTTGTGGATCCTTCCCACTGCTGGAGCAGCTCTAATTAGTTGGGATTAGATATTCCCAACTCGGGGAGATGCTCTCCATAAATATTTGTTTGCATTTAAAAGCAGATTCCTGCAAAGATTCTGGTGCTGACAGTTCCCCTCCAGCAGCACTGGCAAAGCGTGGATGTGGTGCCCAGACGAGCGCAATGTGTGCGGCCCGCGTTGTGCACTGAGGCCCCTTAATCAGCTAAGTTTTGGGTTATTACTCTAAGTAGGCATTTGGTGGGACTGATCCTTACATTATTAAATATATTTCATATGTGAAGAAATGTGTGCATCGTTCTGCATTCGCGTGAATTGCACAAATTAATTTTGTGCCCGAGAACAGGAATATTTGGTGTGTAGATTAATGCTATCTCATGTCTAACTGCGTGTTTCTGAATATGGGCAATGCTGCATATCTCTGGAGGAGAGGTATTGTAGTTCTATAAGCTTAGGTTTGGAGGGATACAAGCATTTTATTTCTACAATATTCCTTTTAAAATAAACATATAGAGATAAGCCTGTGATGTTACTAAGAAAAGAGACTGGCAGAGATTAGGATTATCGTGACTGCACTAGACTGGAATAATGGTGCTGAGTTAAAAGTTTCTGTGGGAAGATTTTTGCAAATTCCAGGGATTTTTGCAGATATCAAGAGGGAAATCAAAGATGTTTGTGGGTTTTTACTCCTTAAAGCCCCATCCTGAAATAAAATAGGTAGAAATGAAAGGAATAAAATAGGCAGGTAAAGAACTGATTGGAAATCCCAGGAACAAAATAAAGATAGGGAAGGAAATCTGACAAAACATTTTTAATTCTCCTTAAATGAAAGAGTTATATGGGGGAAAAGAATGCTCATTTTAATACTGAAGTTTTTAAAGTCCTCTGATCTTAATGCCCCAACCTACTCCTGTAATTAACGGTAGTCAAAGGTAGCACCTATTAACCTCAGTAACACTTGGCTTAAAAAAATCTTTTGCACAATTGCAGTCTGTATTTTATTGCTGGATGTCTGGGAGAGGTTATACAGCCACCCATAACCCACTCCATCCTCAAATCCAGGCATGTTTTACATTCAGAGCTTTGAAAACCAGCTAAATTTACACCCAGCTTGCTCTGGAAATAAATCTGCTCATTTAGATGAGGTCTCATTTGAAATGAGCTTAGCCCAATAATTAATCATTTCATTCTCTTTATATATTTGTGGGTATTTGAAAGAAGTTTGATTAGTTACCAGTGATTACACTTCCCAACACCCTGCAAAGGAAATAATAAAATAAAACCCGTCAGGCTTTTGGAAGAATTGCTGGGGCTGAATTTGGGCTGAATTTAATAGCGACTTACTAACCGGCAATTATTTGTCTGCCTTTAACAGGAACTCCATAATGAAAGAGGTTATCACCCAGGAGTTATACCCAGCTTGTTTTTCAACCCTGCAAAGGGAAGATACTGTGCTGTGAACAAAGCAGTGATGGCTCATGAGTCCTCCCTGGGCATGAGGAGAGCGGTGGAGCTGTTTTGGACGGCACATGCACAGGTACCCACTGGCCCATGGGACACATCCTCCTCCTGCTCCATCTCTTGGGGATGTTCAGTAAAGGCAAGCAGACAAGCTTCCATTTGCTGATCTGTTGTTTCTAAAGGCACTAAATTATTTTAAGAAGTCTTGAGATTCAGGTCTGAAGATATTTGTTTAATTCAAGGGTTTTTTTCCTTGTGAGGAGCTGCAGAGGGTAAAAGATTGTGTCTGTCTGAGTAGATGTTACACCTCTAATGCTGCCCGTTGTCTCCTATCTGTGTTGTGGCCAAAGTGGATGGGTGTCAGAGTTCAACATACCCATGCTGTTTAACCTGGTGTTATTATCACAGTGACCTTAACCAGCTAGGCAGTTCACAGAGCAGGCACTAAACAGAGCATGAGATGAATTTAATGGATTACTAGGGAGTATGTTATTGCAAGGAGAAGCACCTGTGGAGCAACATATTTACCTCAGTTCCACTGAATGAGCATGTTGAAAGTGAATTGGCACAGCCTTCTGCTTTATGAAAGGAAGTATTTTGTCATTCTTCATGCTTTCATTAAGAGGATTTAAGGCAGAGGATGCTGAAATGGTACTGTGTTGGCACCAAAAAAAAAAAAAAATCACAGATTAATAGTGAAACTTGAAAATAGTAAAGCATCTGATTTTTGCTTTTTCATCAACAAGCCTAATAAACCAGGATGAAACTATTAACATACAAATAGACAACATTCTGATTAAAACAGCAGCAGCCAGCCCAGCCTGAAAAAGACCTCTTCATGCAGAAAGCAATTATGATGGCAAGTGTTGTCCGATTCACTTCCCTCTGCAACAAACCTAGGAAATCAAAATCATAATTTTGCAGAAAACACCGGTGTTATTTAAAGACTAAGATGCCATTGATTTTTATGATCATGATTAGCATTTTAGAAGCCCCCAAATGTACTGCAAGGTTGTATTCCTTTGAATTTCTACTCCAGGCATATACTGTAAATAGGGAAAAGGAAGCCCTCAGGATCAAGTATTGTGGGAAACCTCTCCAGAGGAAGGGCAGATATTATCCTAGATTATACTTCTATAGTGTACTTACCTTCCTTTCCTGCATCTCCCCTAAGATGATCTGTGGAAAGAATATACTTCCTGACTAAACCATCATTTAACAATCTACCTCCTGATGATGGTAATCTAGTAAAAAGAAGCTTCCCGATGTTAAAGTCAAGCCATGACAACTGAGCTGCTTCATCTTAGAATCTTAGAAATTTTGTTTTGTCACGAAATGAATCACTGGCACAGGAGGGTTCTCCCTCATGACAAAGCAAACCTGGTTTCCTGTTTACACGGACTGAGCGTTCCACGCACAAACCATCGCGGGAAGCCCGTCCAGTTTTGTTTGCTCCTCTGAGCAGGGAGGCCTTTCAGTAACACTCTGCTGCCTAATTCCAGTTTATGCAGGTGGAGTATAAGTGGTACCAAGCCCTCCTTAATTTCCTCTTTCCCCCATTCAGAAAGGGTGTAAATATGTGCCCAAATCCCTCCTCATTCAGCAGAGTGCAGAAGCTCCTCTGTAATTTAAAGCATGTGCTTGAGATTGGTTGTTTACTGAGGTGAACACATGGGTTTGTTGAGATTTATTTTTTTTTCCATATCTTGAACCTCGATACACCCTGCTCATTTTGGAGAAAAGAGTCAAGATGCACTTTTCCAGGTGGAGGTAGGAGTGGCTATGGAATTATCTGAAGGAATCCACTTCATTTCACCTGAGAGACACAGTTCTCTGGGATGATTTAGAAAGAAGTCTTAACATGGTAACCCTGAAATGTTGATACTTTTTTGGTATCTATCCTAATTTTGATATTTAGGCAAATATGCATTAAATGTGCCAGTGAGCTCATCATCCAGTTCCTTTTTCCTTTCATTAGGTTTATTTTGAATATTCCTTTTTAGCAGGAAATAAAACTGGCAGCTTCTCACTTGTTTGGGTGGTCCAAAACCTGATCATTATGTATTAGCAAAGAATTCAGGGTTGGAGCATGGTGGAAGATGATTTCTGCGTCACACAGAGCTAAAAACCTAATTAGACAGCTAAAGTAGCCTCCAAATGTGCAGACGCTCTTTTACGCTCCAAAATAGTTGCATCAGCTATCAATCAAGTGGATAAATGATGCAGACAGGCAACTGAGGGTTTTCATTTGTGAGTAATATTAATTGTGGGTGTAAAATGAAAGATATAATAAGTGATGAAGGTACCACTCAGTACTTGGATGAAACATTTTCTTAAGTTAACTCTAAATGGGACAATTGTATCAGCAAATAAAATTTCAGCTCGGCAGTGACCATTGTATGTTCTTGAAAAACCATATGGAAGTGCCCATTGATTATTGTTCTCCTTGATTTTGGTTTTCAAGACCTGTATTCTGGCTTGCTGTTCGTTAGTCTGTTGTAATGGGGCTGGGAGAGCAGCATTCAGACCTCAGCTCAATATTCAAGGCAAAAATATTATGCAGTTATATGATACAGAGTCACAGAGTTGCATCAAATGGAAACAAATGGTGCCAAATCAAGACCACATGTTTTTAAAGAGGATTATGAATTTAAGAGATATGCAGCTAAATGTCATCTATTTGCAAATAATTGAGGAATTTGAAAAAAAAATCCTTTAGAAGATTTTAGTGAACATAGTAATTGTAAAAACACTTGCCAGGATTTTTCTGAGGTCAGTCTCCAGAAGTCTGAAATTCAGACAGAAATGACTATGTTTCTGGTAATCCTTTCTGAATGGGACTCCTGATTGCCCTTCACTGGGGTCTTATCGTTTCCCCACGGAAGACTGGACATCTGAAACAATGATTCCAAGCAGGGGTTTCAGATGTTTAAGGTGTTTATAAATCATATGAAAATGGATAATTCTTTATTTAAAATCTAAAAATCTCACAGTTTCTTTCTGCTTGCTTTTTAATTTTTTTTCTTTTTAATAGTGCATTTAGGCGACTTCCCACCCTATGTTTGCAGTGCCTTGACTAAAGATCTTTATATTTTCCCTATTTAGATACCAAACAGAGCTCTTCACCTCGTGTCTGTCACTGAGGTCTACATGTGGTTGCTAAGCCTCCACTATCACATGGAAGGGTGGAGACAGGGTAGCAGTTTTCTCTGGAAAAGAGACAGATGGTCATGCCAAGTCGCAGATAAATATTGGCAGTGGCGTTTCTTGGGGCGAGATTGAGACACTCTTTGGCAGGAGCCAACACCCATTCTGAGATGAAAAATGTTCATCCCACCATCTAGCTCTGCAATCCCTTCTCCAGCAGACACTTCTCTGGGAAAACACCCACTGCTGTGTCTGAGGCCAGTGGAGGTCCTGTGACTTGCTCTGCAGTTCCTCAGTTGGCAGTACCCACCCTGCCCGTGCTCATTCTCTCTTTTTATTGCCTTTTTGCCTGCATAAAATACTATGAACAGCCAACTGGCTCCATTTAAACATAAGAATACTAGTGAAACAGGTTTCCCCTGCTTGCTGTCTTGTTTCTAGAGACTTTGTGGTGGTATCTTGTCTCCTTTGTCTCAGAATCTGGTTGTCATTTTGTATAGTCTGGCAGTTTGGGGTTTAGAGGGTCCCATCTGCAGGCAGCAGGACTCTCTAACAGAGCTCATCTCAGATTTGTGTGGGAGGATTGACAGGGAGCCCACTGTCAGTACGTGCCCTGCTGGTTCAGGCAAAATGAACTCTGCTTACACAAACAATGTAATTTTGGCTGAATTCAGGCCCAAAGGAATCACTATCTAGTGTTTTTCTCTCATGTGTGTATTTTTAGACTATCTATAGTTTGGATACTGGCTTGCATAAGTCCTGTTCTCCAAATGGGTTGAGTTTTGGTGCTGGGAGAGGGTCACGTGAACCTTTTATTCAGTTAACTCTGAATCACATCTGAATTTACAGCATTTCAGAGAGTTCTGCTAGAGAGACATGAAGCATATAGCCAAGGTGAGGCAATTCCCAAATCATCGAAAATCTCACTGACAGATGCAACCAAATAAATAGCCTTTGTACAGAAGACACTAAAGATCTTTATGACTAAGTCATTAAAATACATTGTAAGAGTGCAAAAGGATGAGAAGGTACTTCAAAATAGATGTTACAGGATTGCCAACAATTTTTGGAAATTGAGGAGATAGCAGTATCTCTCATTTGAATAACCAAGCAGTAAACAAGTGCTGTGAGCTTTGGAAAGCCTGTGGAGCACAGGGATGGGATCAGAAGGCAGGGGTAAGGGAAGGACACTTTGTGGGCTTTATTGTGTCCATAAGACTCTGCATCCTATTTTCTACACTTAAGGAACACACCGTGTTGGTTTTCTGCAATAAGCAGGATATTGTTTAAGTCCTTTTCCAACAAAGTATTATCAAGGTTTTTGTTTTGTTTTGCTTTGCTTTTAATTGGAAGCAGCAGCAAAGTTCAGGGCACCATATGAGGATGTTACAGTGACACAAAAGTACAAGATAAGGTGCTTCCTACCACAGGAAGGCTATTTTAACAGTTGGGTTTTACGATATTTACGAAGGAAGGAAAGTCAAAGGCAACAATATTTAATGTCATCATTATTGTCCTGATTTTCAGAGAAACATAGAGGGATGAGGAGCTCAATCACTTCAGCTTTGCAGAAGACTTCAACACAAGGTCAGACAGTGTTTGAAAGACAATGAACCCCAAAATCCAGGGTTTTTTTCCCTAATTTTTACATAAGGAAAATATGTTTTGTTCAAATATATGGATTGAGGATGGAAAACAAAAAGGGAAGGTAAATTCACAGGCCTCACCAACTTCCCTCATTAATGGTTCTGAGCAGAACATGCTGAGCTTTGTGACTTTTTATTTATCATTAAAACACAATTTTTGTTATTTGCTGAATGGTTAAAATTTCTTTTCCTGATAATTTGGGGAGGTAGCTGTTTATCATATGGAATGATAAACAAAAGCAGTGAAAGTCTTTTCAAATGGGTTAGTTTGCAACCCTATAGAGCTGTGCTTCATGAGTTTATTTGCATCGTCAGGAGAATCTAAACTAATTTAATTCATGGTAGGGAGCACATGTTAATGACTTTGCTGGGTGGATAAAGGTACTGCACACCTCCCTTCTTACTCAGTGCTCCTGATCTACAAGCAGGCCAATAGATCAAAACCACATGCTATCTCATGGTAAGGACCCTCTAGAACTGAATTCACAATGGCCATGCTCTCCTTAGATATTTTTATACATCACAAAAACTAATAGTATGTTTGCTGCCCTGTCAAAGTGTCCAGAGATTGAATTAGGTGGAGGTTGGATGAATCCCTGAGCAGCCTGATCGAGTGTGTGGCATCCCTGCCCACGGAGGGGGTCTGGAATTAGATGATTTTTAAGGTCCCTTCCAATCCAAATCATCCTGTGATTCTGTGAGCTTGATTCTATGACAGCAGAACAAGGTGCTGCTGTCCAGTGGGTGAGGAAGGGAGGCAGCTCTGTTGTCAGCTGAACAGCATTTCTGCTTTCCCAGCTTCCTCCCTTGCAGGCTTGTTCTGATTTCAACTCTCTGGCCTTCACAGGCTCGAAAAACTGTATAAAGGAAGCAAAAGAAAAGGTATTTCAAGGAATGAAATTAAGAATTGTAAAGATCTTTGAATAACTAGTGTTTTCAAACTGGGTTAAAGCAGACTTAGAGTAATCTGACATGATGTAATCCCAGTGAAGTTGCAGGAAAGCAGAAATTAAGTATTTATTTGGGGTATTACAGTGTCTAGTATAAGATATTGTTAAGTACTGTCAGTAACTCATTATATATTTATTTAAAAAAATAAGAACTTAAAAGAAAAAAGAAATTTGAGATTAGAATGCGGTTGCTGTACATGCATTATACATGCTTCTCCTTCTGTTCCACTAATGGATCCTGACTGCCAGAACAGCGAAACGAACCATTGAAATTAGCGGAACTAAGACCCAGATCTATTAAAAATTTTCATTTGCCTCCAGTGTAGAATTTCAGACAGATCCCTGATTTCTGTGAAGCATTTCCAAAGTATCTCAGCTCCGCTGTAAAATGAGTTTTCTGTCAAAGGGAACGAGCGTGGTGGTAGAAGCCGTCGGATCTTCTGCTTCCTAATGGCCACGCTGCAGAGACACGAAAAACAAAGGATGAAGCATCTCTAGTGGCATATCATTAATGCTGGTGGCATATCATTAATGCTGGTGGCAAGCTGAGGAAAGAGACATCAACAGCAGAAGAGGCTGAGATGAATGAAGCAGGAGTCATCAGCATGGAAATGCCACCTTAATTATACTACGTTCTGAAAAGAACTAAATCAAGGTGAATACGAAACTGAAACTAAGAGGCACCAGCCACCCATTTAGGCTTCACTACCTCACCTCATCAGGGGTATATTACAAGTCCCTACTGGAAAATAGTGCCTCACACCTTTCAGTCCTTGGTGATCTTCTGCTGCAGGAAGAGTTGCTAATCCCAAGATTTTCACGTTCTGAGCTAAAATCAGAGATGGAATATTGTTGCAGTTGGAAACTTATTTATTTATGGGTCATCCAATAGACAAAAGATACAATGGACTACAGTAGATACCCTCTTAAGGAGAAAAATATTTGTGAAAATATCATTAAAATATACTGTGGATGTGTCAACAATTCGATCTTCAGTACAGAGCACTTATCAGGAAACCCTCTGGTATTAAGTTATGTTTCATTTCTAATGCTGCCCAAGCATGCTCTATTTTTTGCCAAAATAATGGAAGTCTGAGCCTTTGCTGGGAATTTCCATACTTATGTGGTTTTAAGTTATATCCTTCAATTTTTTTTTTTTTTTTTGTCTGTTTTGGTAATGGGAAGTTTTAGTGCCTGGAAAATCTGAGACGCTGAAAGAACCTAAAAAAATGTACATGCAGAAGAGGGTTTGGTTTTCTTCTGAATCCTGGTCAGACTCTGGAAAACAGAACCAAACCTCAGAACCAAAAATTCCTTCATGAGTTTTCAACATTTCTGCTAATGCCGAGTTCCAGGATCTGGTTTACATCGGGAAACCTTGACTCCTGGCTCCAAAGGGTTCAATTAGTCAAAATGGTTGGCAGATGGAAAAAAATCATTAAGTTCCATCCAGTGTTTTGAACAATAAAAATAGACTCAAGACACAATGGCCTTACCTTGAACTTTGCAGGCCAGTGTCACATTATGATAAAGAGGGAGTCAGCTTTTAGAAGCTGGATTATCTACCAGCACACGGACAGAGTGTGAAGCTGGGCTGCAAGGGGGACAGGCACCAGAACCTTGCAGGCTGAGCTCATGATTATTAGTTTAATGATTTTTAGCCCAGATCCAAGATGCAAATTCTGGCGATGAGAAATAACTCGACGTGGATATTATGAGATTACCAAAACCTCACGACAGTAGTAATAACAATAATCATCTGTGATTTGAAGAGACGCTGAAATTCATGGAAATTTTAAAATCTTATTCTTAGAAATCTTTCTCCTAAATGCTTTGTCTTTCCTGAAGATGACAGAAAAGCAGATAGATAACACTTTTATCAAACAGATTTTTCTTCATTTTATGCTTAAATATAGACTTAGATGCCCAACTTTAGGAACTTGAATTTGAAAATACAATTATGGACCAGAAACATAACCTGTTCCATAATTGGACATCAAAGCTATTTTTACTTCAACTATCCCATAAGATAGGTGGGAAAAGGAATTATACCTGACATTACATACCTGATCATTCTGAAAAAAATGAATATATTCACAAAAAAAAAGCAGCATCTAGGGTAAATTTTCAAATTGGAAACTAGGACTTACTACAACAAATGATTTATTACAAAATAAGCTCTAGTGAAAATTTTATGTCCAAAGCAATGTTTTGGATAATAAATTATATCTTACAGACAATAAAAAGTGGACAGATTCTCCACCACTGTCAATGACAGCACCTGGCAGTACAGGGCACACGGGCTTGGAGATTAATGTCTAAGTTTAGAATGAAATTCCCAGCTGGTGGGAATTACTAAGACACAACAGAGGTTCTAGATTGTAATATTAATAAATTTTCCCAGAAAGTGTGAGAGCTCCACATATCCACACTTGTACATACACTTTTACATCCGCTCTTGGCTGTCACTCGGTGCTGGATGCAACTGGGTACTTAACATCTAAAGAGATGGAGAAATAAATTGCACAGCTCTCCATGCAAGTCTGATCAAGCTCAGGAAGGTGAGGTAAGTCTGCTTCCTATTGCTCACGTCCTTCCTTCTGTTCCCTAAACCTCTACCAGGTACGATTGCCATCTCTTCCTCTCTCCCTTCTCTGAGGCTGCTCTGCCCCTCAGGGGCTGCTGCCCCCACTGCCACCCCACAGTTCTCGGTGGCAGCAGGGCTTTGCTACGTGTTTGAGTGGCACTGTGGATCCAGGATGAGGACAGGACTACGTGGGGTGGCTCCTGACACGGTATCACAGAGTGTTTTGGCAGGGCCGGTGTGGTTGGGCCATGTAACTGGTGTCACAAGGCCAGAATTTTAAAGAAGTGATGTTGACATGTTTGCCATTGCTCTGATGGTTTGGGCTCCTCTCAGTGTGCAGCAGATGGCCCCCACCTTTATCTTCCTGGAGTGTCCTGTGCTTATTTGTGGTGGTAGTCCAGAAAAACCACTGATTCTATCCCAAATCATGTGGTATTTAGAGGGATAAAGATGTTGAACTAAGCCTGGGAATCATTAGGTGGCTGCCTTGGAGCCAAACTGTTTGGACAGGGCTCAGTTTCACAGCTGGCAGAAGGAGAATCTTCTTCTCCTTCAACTGCTGAGACTGTCAGCAGCAAACTTGCAGAATTACCTCCCAGCTCTTGGGGGTTCATGGGGTGGTGAAGTGGATGTCTTGTTTGGTGAACTCTAAAGATGCCTTGTTGGTTTGTGTGTGTTAGGGAGTGTCTTTAAATTTGGAGCCTGTTCTCTACTGTTTTATGGTTTAGGTCAGAGTATTGGATCAGGCTGACTGGTCTCTTTGGGATAACAGTGGTGGATCTTGCTATTTAAGTAGGATGTGGTAAGGGTGGAGGGTCTCAAGATGCAGAATTCTTCCTTTGAATCATAATGTAAGTTCATTCTATCTGAACCTCCAAGTGAACATTCAGAGCCCTGATTTCTCTAATCTCTCAAGGGCCAAGCTTCCTGGGTCCAGTCTGTCCCAAAGCACATGCTTCTGACTTTACACAGCTGTCCTAGAGGACAGGAAAAATCAATGTATACTGTTGTATTAAACACAGGGAGGATTAGCAGAAGGGACGTGCTAACGAATTCCATGTGAATACGCTGCAGCAGACCAGTGTTGCAAAGCACAGAAATAATTTGGTAGAAAACCTGCCTGGTTTGCTTTCCAGCTCAGGCTGATGGCCGAGCCTTCTGTTACTCAGAGCCAGGGCTATTTCCTGCGGTGCCGGTGGCATCACCAGGGTGGTGTGAGGTGTGGTACCCAGCCCAGCATGGGCAGAGCTGGTGCTGCACAGATCAGAGCAGGCAGCACATCTTGATGTCTGCTGAGACTCATGAGGTGAAGGCTTTGATGTAGGTCCAGGGCCTGGCCCTGTGATGCAAGTTGCACTGTGAAACCTGCTTTTCAGGGAGCACATCCGTAGCCATGGGATCTTTAGAAACAGAATCTTGTCCATCAGGAAGCCTGTAACAGTGATCAATCCTCAGGACTTCCTGAAGAGGAGTTCCTTGTCCTAGATTTGACACTTGTATCCTCCACCTCCTGGGAGGCCCAGGCCTGTCTCATGCTCTTACATGAGCAACCCAAGCAAAGGCTTTGGGTTTTGCTTCCAGCTCGAATGTGCTTTGGTTCTAGCATCAATCATTGCTCCCATAGAAAATGCTAAACACCTTTCTGTGTGATGTTCTATAATTCAGTTTAGTTGTAATACCTCATGAAATACACTGCACTGAAAGCCTCTCTGTTTTCACAAGCAGAGCAACTATGCCAGCTGGTTAAGAGCAACTGGTGTAATAATTTTTCTACTTTTTCACCCACTTTCCCTATACCTCACTATCCTCACATTTACTTCTTTTCACCATCCTGGTTCTAGCTCTTCTCTTTGGCAGCACTGCCAGTTTCTCTCCTGTGGCCATGTGCCTGTGCACACACACAGGCTCAGGCAGATGCTCGTAACCTGACGTCACAATTCACCCCTCCCTTGTTAATTGTAAGAAAAAGAGGGAAGGAAGAATGAAAAAAAAAGAAAAAAGTTTACACGGGGGAGTGAGGCAAAAATAGAAATCCAAGGATATGGTGGTTGCAAGGAATGCCCAGAAATTTCCTTCTGGAGTCTCTTTTAATCATCTCTCATACTTTGCTTCAGTGCTCTTCTTTCAGCTGCTCAGGCCAGGTTGCTTGGTAGACTTTTGCTGCCAAATGCTATTATAACCAAACTTCTCTGATCTTTAGCCAAATCTTAGGAAAGAAGTGGGTGTGCTGAAGCTTTGGTGAGGGAACTCTTTACCATTGCTGGAATGGCAAACACGACTGCACAGATGAGAGCTGCTGGAGCAGGGCTGCAATGCTACCACGGGGTCTGGTTTCAGCTGCTGCCATGCAGGAAAGAGCAGCTCTGAATGTCTAGAATATACAACTGTTTCAGCTGCAACCACCCAGATATTAGCACAAAACACAGATAACATCAACAACATCCTCTAAGGTACTAGGTACCTGAGACAGCCATCTGGGTTTTGCTGACATGTCCCCGGGCTGTGCTGACTCAGGGCAGATCCCCAGCAGGAATAACTGAGGCTGCACTGAAACTCGTGCCCACGCCGTCCTGGAGAGGAATCATCAAGCAGGCAGAAAGGGCTTTTCTTGGACTCTCAAGGCTGCATCTCCCCTCTTCAGGGCTCAGGGTGGGCTTCACAGCTGTGCCTGGCCAGCTCTGGGGAAGGGCAAATGTGTGGCTGGAGCATGAGGAGAGACAGAGCTGGAAACACAGAGCCTTTACAAATTCATCCTCTATGGCATGTTAAAGAAGGGCTGAAACACCATACACCACTTAAATATCCTAATTTCTGCAAGACCTTGCTCTATACTAATTATCAAAAGGAATGTCTGAGCAAAAGAACAAAAAATCCTCTAACATGCTATTCACAAATGCAATGAGCTTGTTGGTTGCCAGAGCTTGCACCGACTCCGTGCCGTACATCTGTAATAAAAGTGTCTCTATTTGCTTAGCAGATGCACTGGAGTCATGCAGAGTTCAAATTTACCATACCCATCAAGATGCAAATCCCAAATTTCGTTTAGCATTGTCCCGTTGGTAAGGATGTTACACGCAGGTCAGGATTCTATCTCCCCCCCCCAAGCCCTTTAAATGTGTTTATTCATTTTGTTTATTTTCATTTCCCAGTTTCCACATGTCGCTCAGTCAGATTTTCTGTTAGCAAGACTGAGAGACGAATAACATATGTTACCCCACAACTGACCTTGAAGGGGAACTGAAGAAACCATCTTCCCTAGGGCTGAGATTCAGTTCAGACACGAGCTTGCTCCGTAGAGGTCTTTTCCTGAAAAGACACTGCCAACTGAGTCGTAAGCCCTGGAAACATTTCTGCCTGCATCGATAGCAAAGCGTGAAGTATGTACCAGGGGGATGTTGAGGATTTAGCCTTCTGTGCCATTCCTCCCTCGGCTCTCATAAGCAAAGCAAACAAATTCTTTGTGTCTTAGAAGACTCGGGTAATTCAGCCAACTTGAGTCGTTTCCTCGCAGGCCTGGCTTTTCACCTGGGGGACGAGGTTTGCTGATCCTACCCAGGTTAAAATGACTGAAAATCAATGTGGTTTGACAGCTGTGGGAAAAAAATAAATAAATGGATGTACAAACTGTTGAGCAACAAAGGCTCTTCAAGTGGATACAAAGTGAGGCACAAAAGGAAACTGTTGTCTGTGATCTTCCTTACAGGCTCTTCGTTCATGGCGGTCTGGCCAGTCCCAGCCCCGTCTGATGGGGTTGGTCTGACACTTCCATAGTGCTTTCCACTTCCTCACATGCTCTGCTCAGGAAGAAGACACAGGCAGTGCCTTCACCTCTCCCCTGTCCTTGGGTGGCTGAGCCGGGAACGCCAAACAGAAGGTGGGTATGCCTGATGTTGCAGTCGGGTTTGGTGACACCCAGTGCCCCACTGCTGAGCCTCCTTGGCCTTTGAAACAGCAAAATAGGGGAGTCCTCATCCGTGGAGTCACCTCTTGAGGACATCCTGTGAGGGGGGTCTTGATGGCACTGTGAAATGGAGGTGGTGTGAGAGAGCCTGTGCAGAACTGGCAGTAATGCCAAGGCTGCTGGTTAGACCCACTCGCATTTCTCTCTTGGACAAGTGGTGCAAGGTATGGAAAAGGAAATCTAGGTTTAACTGGGAGTCAGTTAGCTTGTCATGTGGCTCCCACAGGCCAGCTGGCTGCTCAGAAGTTGCTGAATTTGGAGCCCTCCATGCTGGAGGCTCTACCTGTCACCCCCCATAGACATCAGCTTTCCTGGTTCTGCCACCTGGCATCAACCTCAGGAGCTCAGATAATTCCCCCTCTTTTTTTCCAGTATCACTTCTTTCCTTGGGGAACGTGATCACTCTGTTTGCTACAGCAATTTGGAATTGAATTACATCTTTGAAATGTTTGGACAATGTTCTCAGGCATATGGTGTGATTTTTGGGGCTGTCCTGTGCAGGGCCAGGAGCTGGACTTGATGATCCTTGTGGGTCTGTTCCAACTCAGGATATTCTGAGATTCTGTGATTTGCCCTGAGGGCTCAGGCAGTTTGGGAAGTGGCAGTGTGTGTGAGCAGGGATCAGAGCCTTCCTTGTTAGCTTGTTGTCACCCTCCAATGAAATCCCAGATCAATGCTGAATTACAGCACAGAGGGGAGATAAATGTTACATTCAGCATGACTTGCCAGTTCTGACACACAGGAACACTAAACATGTACCTAGACAAAATCTTAAACTCATGCCAATTTCAATCCCAAAACCTGCCACGCCAGTTATCGCTTAGTAACAACTTCATATAATTTTCCCCAAGTAATTAAAATGTCTTTCCTGAGCCAAAAAATGAAATTTTCTTTACAACAGGCAAGTCTTATGTAAAAACCACTTTTCTCTTTAGTTTCTGTCAGTTTAATGTAAATTTTTAGCTGTATTTGGAGAAATTCATTTTGGGAGTTATGACAATTCTTAGTACTGTGGTTGAAGGGAAGGAGGGAAGTTAACTGTGCACTTAGATTTCAGTGGTATCACCTGAAGTGCTAGATTCAGGAAATTTTTCCACAGGTTTATGGATGCTACCTATGGCTGACATGGGATACAGGCAAAGTGTCACTAGTGAAGTTTTCAGAAAATGTTTGTTAATGCCCATGGCAGCCCAGTAATACCTCCTGTTCTGTTTTAAGGAGAGGTGAACAGGGTCATGTGCACATTTTCTTCATATTTTCATTCTGTGGTTGCTGATTTTGACTGCTTTCACTCTTTTCAGCTCACCCAGCAGTGCTCATCAGCTCTTGGGAGACCTGGAGCTTTTGATGGCCATCGCCTGCCAGTTTGGTGATGAGATACCCTCCCCTTGTTCCTTCTCCCCTTCACCTCCTCCCCAAATAGCTGCATTTCAGTTCAGGAGCCACTTTGGGAAATGTGGGTTCCTGTGATCTCTCAGATGTGCCAATGGGCTCACTGGCATTACAGGTCAGGATTTCTGTCACCACCCTAAAAATGGCCTTACTGGCAAAGGAACAAAGCTCAGAAAATAACATTTTAAACCTGTCAAGTCTGATTTACAGAAAGCTTCCATGATCTAGAAAAGCAACAAGCAATGATTACGTTCTGCTCCACCCTAATTTTAATTATAAAAAATGCTAGTATAGTTTTCCAGTTGCCATCCCTGTAAAGGAAATAAGTAGAGTTGGAGTAAATCTTCCAAATAAACATCTTTCTCAGACATAAACATGATAAATCTTTTCTTTTGAGAAAGATATAAAGAATGGTTAACTTAAAATATGCATATAATAACATATTACCCACGGCTTCTCATGTTTAAAAAGATTCCATATGCTGGGAAAACCCATAAAATAAAACCCAAGAAATGCTGCATCCTCTTTCTATTAATTTGAAACAGTCACTTAATGGGAAAAAGGAAAAGAAAGAAAAAATAAAGAAAACTGGTGGAACAGAATTATTTTATTTTTTCTTAGAAAATCCCAAACAAATCAGTAACTCCAGCATTCCAATCTCTTCATCCTGTTTTTAGTGGTGTATTAATATGTAAACTCAATACTTCTGTTGAAAAATAGCTTTGGGTAAGGAAAAATGGTAGCAAATTCCAGGGTGGCCTTACTAGCATTTTTGATTGAAAAAACTTGGAAAAATGTTGTTGTTTTAGGATGATGAGAAGTGCTGCCATCTCTTGTGGTTTACCCAGGATTGTCCCAAGTTTGACTGTTGTCTCTGGTTTGGTTTAAAACCTAAAAAGGGGCCAGTAACCGTAGCTCCCTCTCTCCCACTAAATTCCCTATTCTTGCCCCATATTTAATGAGTAATTGATTTTAAAATAGTCTCACTGAAGAAGCTTTCTGTTAAAGTAGCATGGATAAAACAGTCTGCTTTTCTTAATTAATTTTTTTTTTAAGAGGCATTTATCTCTCTAGAAAGGTTTGTTCCATATGACTCTGGGCTGCAGAACTGGGGTGGTGGGAGATGGTGAATAGACTGGGAATCAGAGGACTTGGACTCTGGGCTGATTTAGCCCTTAACTTCATTTATGACTTGGAGAAAATCATTTGTGTTTCCATTGATTTTATCTGTGACTCCCCTTATTTCGTCAGATATTTTCACATGGAGAACACTTGGTATACAGATGCTGGTTGCTCCCTGGCAGGAGCTTCCAAAACTGTTCCTCCAAGGAACAGAGCGGAGTCCAAGACTTTCAAGACCTTTCCAGAGGTTGACATGGAGATGATGACTGTCCTGTTTCATATCACAGCCCAATGGTCAGGGCCCTTCCTCGCAGACCTCACAGACCAGCTTTTCAACTGTCCTCCTTCAGTTTGGGCTTGTTTCCAGATCTCACACATCACTGTCCTGTGAACCTCTTGATCATGATCAACTGGGGATTCCCCACTCCTGGAAGTGTTTCAAGGCCAGACTGGATGGGGCTCTGAGCGTGCTGGTCCAGTGGAAGGTGTCCCTGCCCATGGCGGGGAGGTCAGAACTAGATAATCTTCAAGGTTCCTTCCAACCCAAACAATTCTACAATTCTGTGCTATTTGAGCTTTTGGCTTTGCAAGGGCTTGAGGCTCCCACCCAGCTGCGAATTCAGAACTCCTCATGCCCCAGAGAGGCCACGAGCATGAGCAAAGCTGGGGACACGCCAGGCAGGGAAGCTGGAGCTCTGCCCTAGGAGGAGAAGCAGCAGCACGCACACCCTGAGCTCAGCACCTGCAATTAAATGATGGGGGGTGTTTAACCAGTCCCATGACAGCCTGACAGGTGCTTTCCCAACCTGGGCACCCCAACACTCTCTCTGTGGCCCCTGATGGGGATCACCTCTGGCCACGGTGTAGGGGGTTAAAGAGGGCTGAGCCAGGGCTCCAGCTGCGTGCACCGGCTGTGTGGGGAGCTGGGCTGGGCCAGCTGTGAGTTCAGCTCTTCCCCCCCCCCAAGTCAGCTAGAAAAGGGCTGTGTCTCCTGCACTGGGATTAGTGCTTGGGGGGAGGTAGGTTTTTATGGTAGGAAAGGAGGTGGAAAAAAATTGCGTTTGACTGATTCCTCACTTGTGCAGTGTCTGGGGAGGGTCTGGGCTGTGCAAAAGCTGTCCTGAGAGGGGCTCTCTTGGCAGCAGGGTTAAGAGAAGCCTGACCCACTGCCTTCTTTACTTAGCATCTAGGCTGGGGAGATGCTTGCTTAGCCCAAAAGCTTGGGTGAGGCAGTCAGCTGGAGTTCAAGATCCAGGGACTTAATGTCCCATGACTGAATGTAGCTTGTTTGACCTGTAGTGCAGATCTTGAGAGTGGGGAGCAGAAGTATTTTTATGGTATGTGCTGAGCCTGCTCTCCCTGACTCAAACACCTCCTGGAAAATGAATAATTGAACATACATGTGACTATGTATAGCCCCTTCTTCAAACAGAACCTGAAAAGGGGAAAGAATATCTTCCAGCTTCATAGACTTTTCCTCCTGCTAACTGCACAGGACTGACCATAAAATCTATAGGGACACAGCTCTATAGCAGGGAGCAGGCTTTTCAGCCCACGCATCTGAGCAGTAGCCTTCTACTCTGAATTCTTTAAGCTAAGCAGGGTAGTGGATTTCTGCCTCCAAACTGAGCTGGAGTAGAAGGAAAAAACAAATTAATTCTGATTTTATTTTTTTTTTTAAATTTTATTTGCCAAGCCACACTGCTCCCTGCTAAAATCAAGAGATGTTACTGTTGGCACAGCGGGTTTAAACTCACTACTGGGTTTTACATGTTTTAATAAAGGAAGAAACTGATTGAATGAGATTGTCTATTAGTTGCATTAGATCAGCAGTTTCTCCTTTGTAGTGATGCAACAGATTGTTTGCTGAATAATACAGTAAGAATAGACTCAGCATGCGAACCCTGTAAACTGTCTGAAGAAAAAGCTGTCCTTTTTTTCCCCAACTGTTTCCAAGCCAGTAGCTGCTTCTAATATTCCTGTATCCAGTGCAAGCCTGGTGCTGTCTATAACACACATCTACTATCTTTCAAGAGCTGTAATAGTTGGTTAGGAGAGAGGGATGTTGAGGAAAGCAGAGTGGGCACAATATAGGAGGGCTGGTCGTGTGAGGAACTCCCTGGACTGCATTTTGGGGCAACTCGTTTCAGTTCCTGGCTCTACTGCATCCTCCTCCTGTGACCTTGGGAAAGTTTCTTTCTAATCTGCTGTTGTAATAAGAGGCACCATTTTGTCTCATGTAGTTGGTACTAAGGTGGTAAAGCAAGAAGCAATTCTATAAAGACTTGTGTGATGCCCAGAACACTGGCAAAGCAAAACCCAGATGAATTCTGCCCTTCTAGTTCTTGACAATTTTTGTTGAGTGCTGAATTTAAGTAGATGCTTATTTTTAGCCTGCACATTAGTGGGCAAGGGAATGAAAGGGGAGGATCTCCCAGACCAAGCATTTTGTTTTCAATATAAATACATGTCGCATAATATTATGGACAAATAAAGGGTTCTTACCACTCATAAGGTGTTATGGTAATCCTTCATGGAGTCCTTTTAATGAATAAACCAGGGATGCTTCATAAGTCGTTTATTAAGGGTTAATGATGTATCTTCTCTCTTTGGCATCATTCCCAGCCTAAATCAAGCCTGCTTCATCTCATATGGATATGAAAGACAAACTGTACAGATTGAAAACATCTGTATACTGAGTGAATGAACCACATGGCAGCAGTGTCATGCAGAGATTTACTTAAAACTGTCCCCTTTTGTTTGACTTTAGAGGAACAGCACAAATAAATACAGTAGGTTCTGTTTAAACAAAGAGGACTCTGATCAATAGAGGTTTGTATAGCTTACGACCTTCAACTATAAACAAAAAATTGGGGTAAACCCCACATGTCTCAGGTCAATTGCCATCTTATTTACTTTATTACGCCACTAATGTTCTAATCTGTCTTGCATATAAAATGCTTTTTGCAAGCCATCTTGCTCTGCTTCTCCATTTTCACCAGAGATAAAAAGGAAGGTTGTGTTTGATTCAGAGCAACCTGTGAGTGTGGGTATGAGTGTGCTGTGAATTCAGAGTATCGGTGTAAGCACAGAACCCAGACAAACCAGTTCAGGCAAATCTCAAATTATGGCAAATTTTGGCTGAGGTTTCTGATAGCTTTTGGTGCTTTTTTGAGGGGGTTCAGGCATCCACAAAAGAAAGGAGAATGGTTTGTGGCTCACCATAGCCAGACCTGGGCACAAGAAACAGGACAGAGAATGTGCTCTATAGAAAGTGTTTGCTCTGTTCTGGCTGTGAGCAGAGGTTATCCCTTGAAAACACTTGTGAGTATCTGCTTGGGACCCTAGCTGTGAGTCTTTATTATTATTATTTTTGTTACTGTCTCCCAGCAAGATTAAGTAATTCCAAATACTGAGGGGATGACACTCCTGCATGTGTTCTGCCCTTGTATCTCCAAATAGCTAACTTGAATTGTAATTACTTCTTTTTTTCTGGCACATTTTCTCATTTTCTAGAGGGGAGAGACTGTTATCTTAATCTTTTTCTGTCCATTTTTTATCTTCCCTGGCTAACTTTTAATCCTTTTGGTCAATTTTAACAGAAGACAAAAAAAAGAGGAAAATGTGCCTATACTGGTTTATGAAAATAAGACAAGAGAGGTAGAAGGGAAATACCCCATGCACAGCTTCCCAGATGGATGAATCTACAGCAGAAGCCTTCATGAGACAGCAGAGGAGCCAGTGAAGACACAAAAAGCCAGGAGAACCCAGATTTATTAGCCTTGCTGCTCAGTTATTCAGATGTTTTTCTTTGCTGAGAACATTCCTGTTCCCATTGACTCCAACATTTTCAACTTCAGTGTTATCTGCACTAATCTAGGAAATACTTCACTGCTGCTTCAACTGCTTTTTCTTGTGGAATTCGAATACTTTGGGGGGCAATGAAGGGGTAAATCCCACTGGGCATGTGCCTTTCCTCAGAGCTTCAGTAGATCTGGAGAGATATTTCTGGTTGTTGTTTGGTTTTGAATATATGTAATTTTTTTTTTTTTTTTTTTTTTTTGGTTAAAATGAAAAGAGCAACCAAACTGCTTGCCTATCTACATTCTCATTCCACTAGCCCGGTGACTTCTGATCCACGAAGCAGCGTCTCAGCCGCCTACCTCACTGGAGGAAAATCTTACAGGCCTTTAGGTTTTGCAACCGAACAGTTGTGTGTGCTTGTCTTGCTTCCAGCATTTCCTCACAGTCCCCACTTAGGCCCAGAAACTAGAGCTGCAAGTTCTAGTCTCAGCAGTAACGTCTCCCCCATCATTAAATAATTGAGTTAGTCCTGCAATCTCGAGCCCAGCAGTCTGTGAGACACTACCTCATAGCTGGTGGGTCGCTGGCAGCAGGTTTGACAAAACCCTTCGGGGATGGCTAGTGGAGGCTCTTTCCTGGCAGGTCCCAGCTTGGTTTGTTAGGTCAGTGGGGAGACAGACGGGGCTCACCACGCCACGCCCGTGCCAAGCCACACTGGCCAAGATTGGTTATGTTTTGGCTGTACCTTCCAGCACAGGGTTAGAAATACTGAAGGAGAGGCTGTGGTCCTTCCTTGAATAAGGGAAGGAAATTTAGGTATTGGAGTCCTCGGGAGATGCTGTTTTGCTGCCCTCTAGGCAAAGATTAAAGCTTAAAATGTGGAAACTACAGAAAATGCTGTCCTGAGCACGCTGAAACAAAGTAAAGGGTTGGGAAGGTTGAAAGGCTTTTCATGGGACTTCATTAAGGTGTGAGTATAAAATCTGTAAAAAGATCTCTGGGCTCGGATAAGGAAGATCCAGTGGTGTACAACAAAGAATAATCAGTAAAGGCATCATAATTACAAAGTTCTTTTATATTAAAATGATGTCATGTAATAGGTTGAAGAGCAAGAAGTAAATAAGCTGTGCAGATCTCCTTTATCTAAATAATTGTTTTCTTATGCGTTAGGCTGAAAACTTCTCATATAATTTCTGTCCTTTAATGGTAAAAATGCATTCAATAAGGACTATGAAACTATTTTAACATTTCAGTAGTAGCTTCATCAGGAGGATCCCAGAGTGCATCACTGAAATGCAAATTTGAGGGAACCATGGAAAAAGAGACCAAGACACAGAACGAGGGCTTAATGGGGAGTGTGTCACCACAGGGCTCTATGGTGAATATATAACCTCATTTTTGTAAGAACTATTGTATGGAGATTCCGATTTTTTAAACTAAGATATATAATTGTATGACTTCAAGTGTTGAGTATTCTCTTACAGAACTGTTCCTTGAGGATAAATCTTCATTTCTCTCATGTGAAGAACTATGCCGAGATCTGCCCGTGGAAAATTACATTCTAGAAGCAAGAATCACAAAGGACCTTTGCTTTCAGACTTTTCTTCAAGAGGTCCACAGCATAATGAGCAGAATGGAATGAAGTGTATTAACCTTTGAAAGATGAAAGGTAATCAGGACTGAACCAGTGCTCCCCGTGGTTAGACCACAAGCTCTTATGAAAGCTTTATGATCAGTCTGCGTGTGTATCTCAACAGTTCCTAGGGAGACATTTCCATAGGTCATATGCTACTGGATAGAAAAAAAAAAAAAAGTTGATCCTGAAGTGTTAAAGTCTCATCTGCTAAACCAAAACAGTGACCTTAGGAACAATTGGCTCTTGACTGCTACCCACACAATGCAGAAAATGTTAAGGAGGTGGAAAATGAGCTCAAGTTTCTAGTTTCCATTATTTGTGAATCAACACATTATTGTATTGTGAATGTTTGCTTCTCTTCTGTCTTTGTAAGCGAAAGATCAAATTATTTTCTCAGTTTATCAGGATAGAAGGAATGTTTTGGAGGTAATTTGGAGATTACCACTGGGAAACAGTCTTTTCAACAGGGCTTCAGTGGTTTCTGTGCCAGTCTAGGGCACCGAGGCAGCTTTCCTGAGAGCTGCAGGAGAGCTGTGAGCTGTGTGACCTTCCTCTGTTTGCTCGGGGGGCACATCTCCATGCTGCTGTTGGATCTTTTTATCTGCTTATGCCACTGGTGACCATGACCCCCTTCTTTCTCATCTGGGCTTGAGACTGATCTGCTTGAACTGCTGAGCTGCATTAGGTCTCGTTTGACTCACTGTATTTCCTTGGCTGCCAGGACTGGGAATCCCCCTCGTTCAGCAGTGCTTACCTTGGGCGACAGCCGGTGAGCAGCTGTCCTTTCTCTCCTGGTGTTATCTCCACAAGAGCCATCTACGTCATTTTTAGTTGTTTGTGAGCTTTTCAGAGCTTTCAGTTTGTGCACAGTCTTGGAATGTGCTTCTCATTCCCTGCATTTTTCTGAAAACAGGACGTTAAAATACGCTCTTTGTAGCTGGATTCATGCATACTTATATTTAATTTGTCCTGTGGCTCAGGCACTTTGTTTCAGGGGGCAGTATGGATGTATGACTGTGGTCTGGTGAACCAGAAGTGCACTTCAAGAGCAGGAACAGGTTAGGAATTATGGCTGTTCTTCACTGAAGAGAAGATGGATGTTTAATGAATGCACAGTTGTAAAAAGATTTGTATGGCAAGAATGACATTAAACCACACTTTTGGAGTGTGTGGGAGGATGAAGGTGGCTCCTGGGGAGAGGATACATGATACACCTCTGAGATGCTGGAATGTAATAATGTTTCTCCAGAGGTTCCTCTCAGCATAAATTTTCCTAAGAACTGGGGTTTGAAATTAATTCCCAGCAGAAGTGTGGAAATAAGCAAAGAAAGAAAAGTATTCAGGGAGAGCTGCTGGAAATGCAGAAGAGTAAACAGTCACTCAGTCTTCTCAAAACTCCATTGTCTCCTGTCCTAAAATTTCTCCTCAAGCAACAAAGTCTGTATTTTCATAGGTGTGTTACCAGCAAACAAGCAGTTCTTATGAGCCCAAACTCACTGCTGCAGCCACGGTTTTTAATCAGGAGCATCTCTGTAGAGATCCATGGAGAACAGAATAGTCTTCCTTGAGGCACAAGCGTTGGGATTGTACCCTCAGAGGCTGAATTCTCTCCACCTGAAGAGCTAAGTCCCCAAACACACAGGAACAACTCTTTGGCATCTTGAGATACCTCTAGACTTTCCCTCAAGCCCTTGCTGTGCTAGGGTCTGCATCAGCATTTGGGGTATTTCCAGATTTAAGGTGTGCGAGAACTTTCTCTCTTACCCTTACCCCAGACCCTTGTGGACTGATTTCATTGCTAATGATCTCATAGTGACTAGACTTTCAATGCTGGGAAGGATAAGTTTAAGTAAAGGGAAAAAAAAAAAAAAACACAAAAAAACCCCCAGAAAATTCAGTATCTCTCAGGAATGGTGGAGGCCTTGCTGCTGGCAGGTAAAGGCAATGGCACACATTGCTTGGTTTTTTGGCTCCTCTAGTTGGTTTAAAATTTCAGCAAGGGGTTATTGCAATGATGGGACAGTTCAGTCCAAATTGCTTTTACCCTGAGAAAGAGCTGTTTATCTGTTTGGAAGAGGAGGACTCATCAGTGCTGGAAAGATTTCATATACCTGGTCTCAGGATCTCTTTTCCCCTCAGCTGCTGGAACGTGAAACCTTCCAGCTGCCTCTCGCCACACTTTGCTCAGAGAGGAGAAAATATTACGAATGAATGTTTCTAAATCCCTCATTCAGTGCACTGAGGGCCAGAGCCTGAAGTAAGACTCCTGATAAATATGGGGATCCAAATCTGGCCCTCGGAGAGCTATCATCTATTACACTCGAGCAAAGAGCGGCCTGATGTTAAGATCTGACTGCTCATTGCAAAGCTTATTTTGTTACATCAGCAGGCCACAAGGTTCAATAAACTATGTGGCCTTTATCCGTTCCATATGTACTGGCTGCCTCCTGTAGTTTCTATGTATTTACCCTGTATATGAGCTTTAAGGGAATCTGATGCCTTTAGACAGCAGAAATGCAGATAATTCTCCAGTTTGTAAAACCCCATTTAAATTTGATTCTGCATCAAAAGATAATGCCAGTAATTGCAATTTTTGTTTTCGAGATACAGGCTTCCAGAGGGGCCTGTGACTCAGAGGATTTTATAGGCATTGAAATTTGATGGATTAATTGTTAATAAAAGTTAGATTGGGTAAGTGAATACAAACATCATACTGAGTTTAGTATTTACATTGGCTCCCAAACCTTTTTAAAGGGCAGTTTTGGACTGAGATGCCAGAACAGAATTTTTGAGTTTTACTCCTAGAAAGTTATTTAAGTGGAAAACAATCCCCACCAACAACACCAGGGTTTTTTTCTTTTTCTGGGGGGTTTTGATTTTGAGGTTTTTTCGGTTTTTTTTTTTTTTTTTTTTTTGTATCATGTTATCACTATCTCCTATCAGGATCTCATTGTACAATAGTGACCTCTGATGTAAAGGAATCAGGAGTGCCACTTGCAAGCCCTATCATACAGCCTTACTGAGCAATTATGAGCCTATTCAGCAAGAGCCAAACAGCTTAGAAGGGAAGGGACATGTGTGCATGTGTGCACACCCACACGTACACACACAGACAGCTGAAAAGCTGGTGATAAAATAAAATTGAAGACCACAACACTGAAGGATCTGGAGCTGTTAATTTTTATAGCCAATACAGATACTAATATTTTATGAGGTTTGGAACTATCAGTGTAAAAAAAATAATATCTAGCTTTAGCCTTTTTGTTTTAATACAAAGATAAAACCATCACTGGAATAGAGCAGCATTATAGTTAATAGACCTCCTCTTTATGGACAGACCTATCTTCCTGTTTCCTTTTGTCAATATTTATAAAAGCAGAAGGATATTTGTGCCTAATCCTATCCAAAATCCATGTGTTGGTTTCTTTAAAGAAGCATCTCTTCTGCTCACTTATATCTTATTTCAGTTAAATAGCAGAGTTGGACTGATCCTTTCCAGTTTTATGTGTTGTGGTCGGTGAAATGACTCCCTTTGCATCAATGCAAACTCTGAAGTGACACGGGGAAATTGGGTAAGAGACTTTGCCCTGCAGAGTTTACATGATGGTGAACATCTGAACTCCCCAAAAATGCTGTCTTCTTGCTCTAGGGACACACAAGGGTTGTCTGATTTGAGTGTTCTCCATCACTGTTTCAGAGGGTTACAGCTACCCCAGAGGGATCACTGGTGGGCCAGCTGGGCATCTTTGCAGAGGGTACAAGATAGTCCTTGAGGTCAGTGGAATGAGTTACAACAGGGTGGAAGGGAAACTGGGGAGAACCCTGGTCCCAACTGGTGTGAGATATCTATGTCTATGACCCTTTAGGATAAATAATAAATATTAAATATTATACCTTATGAGTAATAGCAGAAACATTTATTTCCATCTTACTCGACATATGATGCCAAAGACATAATACTTGGAAGAAGTGTGATATTGTCTTACTGGTTCTCTCAGTAAGATGAGGTTTTATTTTATGTGTAGAGCAACCTATTTATTTATGTGTAGAACCATCTCAGAGGCAGGATGCTGAACTGGTAGTTGGGTGATGCACCTTCTGCTATCATAAAACTTCAGACTTCCTCTGTGACTTTATTTATCCCTTATGACTGTTTGACAGCCTTTATAAATGTGAAAATCTTTTTTGTCATTCCACAGGAAAGTTGTATATCAAGACACAACAATTTGCAAAGTTTTCAAGTATTCAAGTAACAAAGGGCATGCAAACTATCCTATGGGTAAGTTCAGATTCCTGGAAAATGCTGCTAGTTCTGAGCTAGTGTGCAATACACTAAAACTTGCCATAAGCATGAGGACACAACACAATCTAAACTCTGATCTGTCCTTGTATGAGCTTGCCCTTTATGTTTTCTTACAGGATTTCATCAAAACTGCTAAAAGCCTGAGAAAAAAATTATTATGAAACAATTAATAACTTTTGAAACTTTCAGTAAAATAATCCCTGTTTTCCAGCTTCTGGAAAAGGAAAGAGTTTTCCAGAGTCTTTGCAATCCCAACGCAAACATTTTGGGAAAAACACATATGTTTAGGAAGTACTTTGATGATATGTAAGGTTGAGTGACTTCTTCAATATATTGAAAGATGTGTATGCTTTGTAATATGAGTCCTGGCCAGGCATCAAGCTTCCCACGAGGCATTCTGTCCTAGCAGCAGCCAAGAGACCTGATACTAATAATGCTCCAAGAATTCAAGGTGTTCGTTAATATTCAGCCATAATGAATGCAGCATGTGTTTTTGAATAAACTACATGCTTGAATGAGGACCTCTCATTCAAGAAGGTGAGGTGCAGAGTGGAGTGATTAGACCTGGCAAAAAGCAGTTGTTCTGTCGGGGGTGATGCCGGGCAGATAATTGTCAATGCTCACAGCGCCGCTCCTCCAGCGTCGCTCGTGGGAGCAAGAGGCTGAGCTGCTTGGATGTCCCCAGCCACGCTACACTGGTAAATCCCAAGGGAGTTCCATGACTGGGAAGTTCCTGCAGGTTGGCCCAAATCTGCTTTGTGTTGGAGCACCGTTGTTTTCAGGCTTGGTACATGCTCAGCTGAACGCTGAGCCTTTTTCACTCCGTTTGATTTGTTAAAATTTTACTCACTTCCACTAAGCTGAAAATGGCTCAGCCTTCTAGAGACCATTTTGTTTGAGCTTCAGAGAGAGCTTCAGTTGCAGCAGGTCAGCCCAGTAACCCACACAAGCAATGCAAAACTTTGAATTTATTACAGAAGAACAGGGGGAGGGGAATAGAACCTAAGCATTTGTTCTTTTGAGACCTAAAGTTCCACCAGCCTCAAAGAGGCCTTCAGTCTTCAAAGCAAGCAGGATCTGTTCCCCAGTAATCCTTTAGATCCAGCAGTATATTTCCAATGGTGAACACACAAGGGAGGTGTTTCCATCCTGATATGTGCAGGTTTTGGGCCAAAATGTCTTCAGTTGCTTGATGGGATATTTGGGTGGAGGCCCTCATCTCCATACTGTTGAAGAGATGAGATGATCTTCATGCAAGGAAGTGAGATGTTCTAATACTCTTATCTTACTTTACATAACTCCAGATGTTAATCATCAAAAAAAAAAAAAAAAAAAGATCCAACCCTTTTTAATATTAGGAAATTAAATGATAAGGCTTGACTTAATTTTTCAGTTTTCTCTTGATAAACCTTAACTTTGAGATGCCGCAGGAGGTGGATTCACTGGACTTCTCAGTAACCTTCAGATGTAATTGCATCAGCCTAAGTGTATGTATTCATCTTTTCTCCTTATAAAGCATCTTTGCATTAAATTTAGAGTAGAAGTTCTTAAAGAATTAATTGGGAGAAGGTATTTGGTGCTCTTGTTAGGAGGAAGAAGGTAATGTTTTTAAGAAACAGCAATCTGGAAGAATAATCAAAATATATTCATGGCATTTAGCAATAGTTTAAAGAGTTTTCAGCTTTTCCATTTTCAGTCAAGTAACTTCAGCAAAACTCCTAAAAAGTGATTTGAAATGATTATTTGTTTCTGAAATTAGTGTGGAGGGGATTTTCAAAGTGAAACCATTTTATTTTTTTTTAAAGTATGACTGCATATAAAGTTGCTTATGGTTCTGCTTTCCACACCCTATAAATAATAATAATAATGATTGAAAATAACAAAATCTTCCCACTCAGACCAATTTACTGCAATTTTCTTTTCACTGTACTATTCAGTTTATTTAGTCTTTGCGCTATCTCTGAGCTGCCTCTGGATTTCAGACACATGTATGCAGATAATTAGCACGGATGCAGATATTACACAAGATGGTCAGGGTTATCAGATGCAGGCGTGTCTAATCCGTCGGTAATTTACAGTTCCTTTTTAAATTTCCACTTTCTAATAACAGTAGGAATTTTTCAGAGGACATACCCCTCGTCTCCCATCTCCAACTGGAGGAAGAAAATCTCACGAGGTGGGAGCTAAATGCAGAACGAGCACTTAAGGGAAGGCTCCGATCTGCGTGCCACACCTCTGCCCTCTCTTGTATACAACGAAAAACCCGTCAGTGTTATTGTAAATCATGATGTCCCAGCCCAGAAAAAAACATATTTTGCACCTCATCTGGTCTAAATATTGAGTTTACGAGTGAATGTTGCTTTGCATTATGTGTTATAGATGCTTTATGTTTATTTAAGAACTCAGTTTGCAGGAATGTTTTCCAGACATGCGGTTTACCGCAATAGACAGTTGTTGATATTCTGATCCCAAGAGCATTAGAATATGTTTAGAAATTGCGACACTTTTAAAACCAGATGTTCTACATAAGCTACACAAAAAATGGGGGTGGGGGAACAAATAGAACTGTCATTTGGCATGAAAACAGCCTGTGTTAAAGCAAAGGCAAACACATACCAAGTGAAATAAACGTGGTGAACTGCCCTCAACCCTTTCCTCCTTTTGTAAGGAACTATTTTAACAAAAGATGGAAAATCCCATCTCCCAGATGGTGTGGGAAGGGAGAAGGGAGGCTTTCAGGTCCAGGTTTGCATCTGAGGGAAGCTGCTGGATCTTGTTCCTGGGATGGATCAAACCAGAATGACAGAACTAGGCAACTTCAAGCAAGAAAAGAATGTAAATCTGGATTCAAAGCCCAGCCCAGAAATTAATTTTCTGTGTGTTTCTAAAGGTAAATGATCCTCGCTGAGGAAACAAAGTTATGTCCTCGTGGTGAATGGCCACAGAAAGGTTCTTCCCAACCAGAGGCTGATGACACATCCTACCCTGTCCTTCAGGATTTGGTGAAGACTTTGCTGTAAACAGGTGGGGGATAATACTGCATCAGGCACTGTCTCAGGGGCTGAAGTGTCTCAAAATATCCCTGCTCTGGGTCTCTGGTGGGAAAGCAGGGTTGGGCAGCAGAACAATCTGGACTCACAGCCGTCATCAGTTGATGATAAACTGTCTCTTTCCATTTAATCTGTTGCTGTTTTTTCCTTCTGAATTTGAATTCTTTCCCTTGTTTATTATAAAGCAGAAGGCAAAAGAGTTTCACATACACCAACCTTAAACAAGTCGACTTGAGTCATATTACTCTGAATTATTTTTCCCCTCCTATCGAAAGTTAACATGCATTAGGGTAATCAGTGATAACACTATAGGTTGGGACCTCTAATAAAAGGAAGACCAACTGGCAGACCAAAAGAAAAGATAATCACAACCCCTCTCCTTTTCGTTACAACAGCATCTCACAGTGATGGAAACGTTATCAGCAAGTCTGGAGGAATTTGCCTCAATATATGTTGTTTTAAGTAACTAAAGCAGTGCATGTGTTTGCCCAAAGGTTGAAAATGTTGTATTTTTAATATGAAAGTCATGTAATGTCTGACAAATAACCTTGTAGGAAAGCCATAGGTTTGCCAGCAGCTTTCCTCAGCGTTGAGAATCAGAGCTGCTTGGACCCTGCTGTGTCTCTTCCAAGCTGTAGCAAAGCTACTCTGCACATGGATGCTGCATCTTAGCTCTTTGCACAGCTGCATAGGAATGAGCTCATTTATGAATGTGTGGTTCGTGGGAAGGAAATTTACTTACATTAGTAAAAGGACCGAAGTGCCCGACCAGCTTAGTCACCCTGCCTTCATTGAACAGGAGGCTCCTGCTGCCTTCAGTGGATGTTGGACCAGTTTGTTAGTCCAGCTTCAAAGAATTAATGCAGTAGTAGGATCTGCCCACTGACTCACTGTGCTCCTCATGAGTACCTGAAAAGCCAGCTCTGAAACTCTTACTAGCTCTGCCTCACCAAAGACAATTTATGGCGGAAGTTCATGTACATATTTATTTTGTTGCTAAAGAGTTTGCTGGCATACTTCAAAGTGTGGGCTATTACCTGTTCAGGTTTATTGCCTGCTCGAGTGAATTATTGCCTACCTGAACAGGCCTGCTGAGCAATAGTTCAAATTAAAACGTGTCATTTATCATGTTCACACCAATCCAAAATGACCGCAAAACCCAAGGTGTAATTATTGCCAGGCTCTGACTGCAGAGCTATCGTAGCAGGCTCTCAACCAGTGGGGAATACTGGTTTCCTTCTTCTAAGGAAATCTGCTTCCTTCTTCATAATGAACAAATATGACCCTAACATTAGCATAATATTGTTTCAAATGCTGATATGCACCACGGAAACCAACTGAGAAATATGGGGGAAGAATGTGACATGGATTCCGTCCAAGATTAGTTTTTCTGCAGACTGCAGTTTTAGACCCAAGGGTTTTTCATTAAAATTTATTCTAAACAGGTCTTGCTCTTCTCAACAATATCCAGAGAGGAGGTTGTCACACAGGCTGAAATGATGGTGCTATTTTTATTGTTGCCGTTATTATTTTTGTTACCAATATTATTGTTTACCCCAATTCAGAAAAATAAACAACAGCAGGGTCTCAGTGCCAGCGTGGGCTGTGAATGCTTCAATGTGCCTACAGCTGTAGTAAACCAAGCCTGTACATCCATTTTCTGCTCCATCCTCTTCTATCCCTGTTGCCTGCTGTGTCATCTTTTCGTATTCTTTGATATATCCCAGGGTTTGTGTTCCATTTTAACCTAAAACTTGTAGAGCTGCAGCTGCCTATGGTATGTATATGACAGCAGTGAAGAGCAGCAATATATATAGTGTGCTGTTCCCTCACATCCCTCCTCAACCCTTCCTGGCTCATCCAGGGCTTTTGAGCTTTTCCTGGATAATGTAAAGCTCCTGAAGTAAAAGAAAAATAAACTCTTTTGTCTATGTCTTTACTGAAGCACTGTAAATATATATTGTAAAGCTTTCTTTTTTTTTTTTTTAAACTTCTTTTATTCTTGTAGGCATGAAAGGACAAGGAATAATCAGACAAGAACAAAATAGAAAGCAAACATAAGAAGTCTTTGCTTTAATGAAAGCATGTTGTGATAGGCTGATCAGAAAACTCCTCTGGGGTTCAACTGCATGTGCCCTGGGATTGAAGAAGGACCAGCACTGCAACAGGTAGTCAGGCTGGCCATAATTCATATGCAGACCTGGTTCTGAGCATCCTGATTCCTGCCTCACTTCTCTGTGAACCATTCCAGGTCCCTGCAACTAAACACTTCCCAAATTATGGAGTTTGCATCCTGATCTGAATTTTGCAACTCAAGCCTACCTGTGGTTATACAGTCAGACAGAAAAGCCAACAAGCCAAGAGCAACGCCTAGTCACTGACTTTGATCTAGAAATAGTTATTATCCAGCTATCTCCATTACAAAACATCCAGTTTGCTAAACCTGGGTTATCTTCTGATTTGGCTTCATTTGATAGGCAAGAGCAGGTCTAGCATGGGAGAGCTTCACATCCCGAAACGATGCATCTTTCAAAAAACTGATAAGTGATAAACCTTGCAAAACCCCTGAGTAGGAAATGACGTTCCTGTCCACCTCCCAACTCTTGTCTCTGCAGTTAATCCTAAACAGCACCACTGGCAGCCTTTGCAGATCAGATGGAAAAGCGAGTGAATTAATGCTTTGCCCTACAAAGCTGACAGTCATCAGTGGGCAACAAGAGGAAATGCACTACTAAAGACAACTCCACCAGTGAGGTTATACAGAGGAGTTCAGTTCTCAAGCTGTAAGCTTATGCAGATTTTACATGACTGATTTTCAAACTATTTCTTTGAATTTCTGTTTCTTGGAAGCATAGTAGGAAGTTGCTGAGAAAGGAAGTCACTTTGAATTCTCTTCTTTTCGCTCCAGATTAGAAGAAACTCTGCTTTCTCTGAAGAGTGAATTTGGGTCACAATGCAGTAGCGTTCAGTCCTCATGCTGAATTACTTGCTGAACATGTGGTAGTACTTTGCGACATGGTCTGTGGACTGGGAAGCAGGCTGAGCTCACCCAACCCATTTCATTTATGGCTTTACAGGAGTAAATAAGTATGTTTTCAGCCACTCAACACAAGAATGGCTTGCAAATTGCAACCGCCATTGCCTGGCAGGTCAAAGGTTAAGCTTTTCAACAGGTCAGACTGCAGTGCTAATTCACCTCAGCAGTGAGTCCCAGGCAGCCTGTAATGCATATTTGTGGTGGTTGTGTTTGTATAGCATGCACATAAAATGAAAACCGTATGACAGAGGTTAGTCCTCTTAAATGGTTGTCACATTGGCTTGGGTTGTACTTTCGTACAGTTATCCATATGCTGGCCAAGATTCTGGTGGTATTTTCCTATAAATTTTATTGACGTGGTGAACTAAAATTGGGTAATTTCATAGCTATTATAATCAGCTAGTGGCCCAAGAAATGCACTGCCATGTTTATCATGAAAATGTTGCTAACTGGTCTGGCCAGGTTCAGCTTCTAGTGGTGGCCCTCTTCCAAACGTGGAAAACCCCTTTTTCTGACACAGAGGGTTCAGACAATCCTTGTGTGCTCAGTCCACACTGAATGCTGGTGCTGTGGGCTGAGGGCTCAGCCCCTGTCTCCAGATTATTTCCTGAATGTTACACAAACAAGGAGCTTGTGAGAGCTTCTTGAGTTCTGTTCAAAGCTACCAAAGCTTGGGCTAAGGCCTGGATTAAATGAAATGTCTAAATTAGGAGCCTAAATTAGGCATCTAAACTCCCTTATATATTCAGTTGGGAGAGATAGGCACTCCCAGGGATACCCTGGGGAAGTGCAGTTGTCCTCCGTGGGTTTCTGCCCAGCCATTGGCTCTGCAGGGAGCACAGGGTAACAAACATCCTAATGCAGGCATCTTAGTTGGGCACATGTAGTGCTGTGGATCTGGACCTGGATAGCTACACACTCATGCAAAAAAATTAATCTCAAATTGCTTCTCCAAAGGGATTTTATTCTTACATGACCTCATGTACTATGTGGTGGCCATTACATGCAGACATAACCCCATGGAGAACGTTGCCAATGTCAGCTCAGCGAGCCAAAAGTCTGTGTGTCTGAGTGACAAAAAGAAATCATTTACTGTCTTTTGTTGGCAGAGAAGTATTAAAATTTCCTCCTCCGCAAGGCAGGAAGAGCAGACACAGCCCTGGACTTCCTCTCCCAGATCCTTCCTGACCAGGGTGCCCTGCTCCAAGGGAGGAGCCGTGACCTTCAAAGGCCGTGTCTTGGCACATCAGGACATACTCGTGTGCACAGCACACGCTCGTTGTTCTGGTGCAAAACAGGTAAATTAAAAAGCTTACCACAATAGGCCAATTTCAGAAGATTTCTGCTGAAAGGTAAAATCTCAAATTGAAGAGAAATTCCTGAGTGCACATAGAGGAGACAACCGAGGTGTTTTGGGAAGCTCCCAGTTCCATCTCCCAGAGTTCCTCTACATCCCCGAGAAAATAAGATGAGTGCCCCTCATCTTTGGTGACATGGTTGATGAAGCTGGCAATAGCACTCCAGTTTAACTATGACTATAAATGATGCTTACATTTCAACAGCGTTTTTTAATAATATTTTTCATAAGTATAAGCTAAAGGAGTTACTTTCCACCAGGGTCATGGAGAGTTCACTAAATGCTGATAGACTGTATTCTGTATTAATGGTGCTAAGTTAACTGCCTCACAGAACTACCAAAGCCCTTTATTTAAAGAAATAGCACTGTATTTCATAAGAAAATATTTTTAAAGCTTTTCCTACTGATATTTTTTCTAAAGAGAGGGAGATCTAATTATTTATACTGAATCTGAAAGGCGTGGCATTGGATGTGTTCAATAAGATACATGGTTTATTTGAATATACATTATAAAGCAGCATGCAACACAGATGATTAAAGTATTTTGTTTTCTTTTTATTTAACAGAATATCAGCCATTAACTTCTGCAGCTAATTACTGGATTTCACAACCAACTCTTCAGAAACAGCTACAAGAATTTGGTTAAACCTTTCTACTGAGCTCTGGGTAAGGGTTTCCATGCAGCAAGAGAAGAATCACTGTATAAATCACAGTTTCTTCTCTTCAGGAAAGCAAGGAATCCTCAGCTCATCTGTATCAGCTCACCTATAGCAGCAAGCAAGGTGACAGAGCTGGGACTTATTCCTTGGCATGGGATGTTTGTTTGTCAGGCCAGGAGTTGGGAACTCATATCTGCCTGTACATAAGATTTGTACTCCCTTGCATGGCTAAAGCAAGTTAAAAACCATCCTGGCTCATACTTGTGGAAATTCCATGGTGGTGGTGGCTTGAAAAGTGGGGTACTAATTAGAAACCAGTTCTTGTTACAGTGACAAATGTGAAGAGACCTTAAAGCAAAATTACGGGAAAAGTGGTGTAGGTTGGACCGTGAAAGAATCACTAGAAATAGTTTCTGCCTATCAAGGTAGTGCAATCCACTGAAAACCTCATGTTTGCACTGATAATTAATTCCTTGACTCCCCATTTCCAGAGTGAATCTATAAAAAAACCCTGCTCACACTTCTCCCCTACCACATCACATTTCAAATCTATACAGCTTTAGCAGAGCTAGTTCAAAGCAGAAACCCAAGGACAATACCAAAGAGCTGCTGTTTCCTGCAAGTCTTCTGCCTACTCATGATGCACCAATTTATGAAGCTGACAAAACTCACCAGTAAAACGTGAAGACCATGAAAGTGTAATGTGTAATACCCAGCAAAACAAAACGACTCTTTTATCTCTGACTATTTGGTTTAACGACCGTAGCAAGGGTGTACACAAATTTTCAGAAATATACTTAATGCATATGCCTCTCCACTAAGGGCTGGCAGAACTGAGGTGGCATCCAGAACCTCTGATGTCCTCAGAACTGAATGTTCTGCTTCTCAGGTGATAAACTGTCCATTAATGTGGTGATAGAAATTGAGTGTCATATTTAATGAGAAAACAATTCCTAGGACACTTACCTGTTACCTTTCCAGCGTGTGAAAACTGGTTCCTTTGTATTGTTTTATTGTCTGTGCTCCTGCCAAGTGTGTAAGATGGCACCAAGTGACCCCAAACAAACTTGAAGTACACAGGGAGAGGATTAATCAGTCAGGCACTTAGGCATAAGCTTCATGTTAAGCATGCAACATAATGTTGTTAAAGTGAATGTAGTGGTATTATTTGTATGTTTAAAGTTAACCACTGAACTTATCTGTTGTACTATATCAGTGCCTAATAGCTTGTGCACTTACTTGCAAATTTAAGATACTTAATGTGTTTATTCTGGACTCTTCCTGTTGTTGTGCATGTGAAATTGTTGCCCTCAACCAAGCAGGGTAGCACAGCCCTACAGCAGCAGTGCAGGCCAGCTCTTCCTCAGCCACGGACAGAGTGACAGTAGGGAGCTGGATGTGGGCAGGGAAATGCTCACAGCAGCTCTGCAGCAGCTCTCCAGCAGCAGATCAGGTTTTTCAGAGCCCTCAAGCAAAGGTACTTAGTTCTGTCATTGTGGTTTCTCTGCTGCTGTTCAGAGACAGAAGAGCTGAGCTCTGGTCATTCTTCACTCATGGATGTTCTCCATTTGTGCCAGCCCTCTCACCTCATCCATAGTCTATTTTGCTGTCACAACTCTTCTTCTCTGTGCATGCAGAGGTCATGGACCCCAAGACCTAGAAACATGAAATCTCCATGTAAGAGTGGCATGTGAGCTGGACCACCCCACCTGGCTCCTGCTTGGTTTGTATGGAAGGATGATCTGGGGAGATTTAGGCAATAAACCAATATTGCCACCCACTAATAACCAAAAAATAAATGTTCCTGAGTGATGTACTCAGCACCTTCTATTCTCACCGAAGTAAGTAGTTCCTTTGGGACTACTTTCATGTGTCTTTAGGGAACGTAACCAAATTATACCACATGAGAGCCGGTAATTTTAATGTTATGCTCTAAGGGGAAAACTATAAACATAACAGGAAAGACTGGATGTTTTCCATTCATAATTTTAGAAAGGTTTCTTCTCATCTGTACATATTAGCTTTTCAACATCTCTGGCAAGATTTAAATGAATTATTTAACTGGAACTGAAAAGCAGGTCTTACTTTTAAATTAAGGTGATAAAAGCTGTTGTATTTTTTTAATTTTTAAAATATTACTGTAGAAGATAAAGATCAAAACCAGACCCAAGAAGCGATAAGGCCAAGAAAATACCCAGCCTATAACCTCCTGGCAGGAGCTGGAATAATTTGGAGAAATGACTGGCTGCGATCCGAAGCACGGTCAGTAGAGATTGGAGAATCCAGAGGTTTTAATCGGAAGCATTTCCATGTTGTGTCAGTCTTTTGTGACCGGGAGTGCAGGGTGTGTGGAGCTGGGAGTGGTGCAAGGCCGTGTCAAGGAGCTCCTGCTGCAAGAGGCACGCCAAGTTTTGTGCAAAACACGGAGGAAAGCTGAGAAAAGGCCTTGTGAAGAAAGATCAGCTTGAAATTTCGGTTCCTTCTCCTCCATCAGTAGGAAATGTGTAAGGTATGGTGAGCCAGGACCCAGCAGGAGATTTTTGGTTCAGAAACCAAAACTGGTCTGGGAGAAGCACTCAGGCAGTCAGGTGAGTAGGGATTTGGCCAGTGTGAAAACAGGGATGTTTTTACAAGCTAAACTGACCCCCTGGAGGGCAGCAAGCGTGGTGTGTCTTGTATGAGAGGTGGTAGCACCCACTCCCTGCTCCACACAGCTGAAAACTCCTGTTTCCTTGGATGAGGGATCTACTTTACTGGAAAAGTCAATCATCTGAATTATAGACCAGGAGAGTTTTTATCCCCACATCCACCATCCCCCAAAAAACCTCTCCCCAGTATTTCCATGCTTCCCCTTTTGCCATTAAGATGAGATTTTCCCCTGCAACTGAACAGTAAGTGCTTCATAAACAGTTCCTCCGTCTGCAAGTGGACCTTGAAAATTGATTATTTTTTGTTTGTTTCTTTTAGTCTCCAAATGTTTCTGCCATTATAAGGCAGGCAGTTATTTTGCCAGGAAGGAATGTGAAGAATTAGAAAAGTTGAAAGCGATTAGGACTCTTGTCTTTTAAGACAGAGCCTTTCACAAAGCCTGGCATTCAGCCTGCTCAGAGTGAGCATCATAAGACACCCTGAAGCCTTGAAATCCCTCAGTTTCAAACCCCATGGGGTGGCTTTTGCATTATCAGGGAAGAGATGATATTGCAGAGACTATTTTCTTCATATTTTAAAGGCCTCTGAGTTAATATTTATTCTAAGTAGATGTTTATTTTTGGGTACTTTTATTGTTTATAGGAAGGCCACAAAGAGTTCAATGTTATGGAGAAATGGTTACTTTGTATTTATGGTTGAAGAAAAATAAGAAGAAAAAAAAAAAGAAAGTTCCAAACAATCCTGCCCCAGTTCTTTATTTCAGGAGACAATGTACTTTCCACCCATGCACAGGCAGTGCTTTACAGGCTGTATAATAAAATGCTGTTCCAGATATTGTCTAAATAGAAACAGATTTAACCCTGCTGTTGTGACTTGCATTGCTGGGTAATGAAAGTTTTCAATCTGGTTTTACTTTGTTTTATGCTTGCTGGAGAACTGCACATCCAAAAAATCCTGCCTCGTGCACAGAGACCTGTTGTTCCAATGCCATCTGTTTGTATATAAAAGGTGAACATCCCCACAAACAAACAAACAAACAAAAAAAACCCCTAGGATTTGGACTTTTCTGGTAGGCAATGAATTGCAATTCAAACCCAAGAATTTCTAACCCTAAAATACTTTGAGAAAGAGTCAAATCATCTACCTATGCAGTCATTCACTAATGGCATACTCAAAACTGCTGAAAAGACTCTTTAATTTAAGTTGACTGTGAAAATTACCCATTGCTGTGTTACCTAAAGCAACCTCCAAGTGTTTCTCCATAGGGGAAAAGCCCTGTGATAAGAGATAGTCCCTGAAGATCTGAGAACAAAAGATGGGCTGCAGCATCTGCATATCAGGAAACGGTCCATTACTCATTAATTGCTCCATTTCCGTGCATCAACGGGGGTCACCCTGTCACTGAGGACCAGCAAGATTATAACAATAATATAAATACTGCTTTATTTACAATTTTACAAGAAAACAACTTTCCATGTTTGTTATTATATAGAGACTGTTGGTTTGGTTTTTTTTTTCCAAGTTTCCACAAATAAAACACTCTCAGAGGACAGTAGGAAGTTTGTAATTTGAAGCATTTTGCTGTGGGACTATAAAGGCGTATTTCCACATGTCACAGAGCCGTGTCCAGCTGTTGGGACACAAACTAAGGACTAGGAGGAACCACATTCTCCTCTTTGCTCTCCCACAGATTTCCTGCATGACCTTGAACAAGTTACTGAGTTTCACTGCCTGCGTGTACAGGCAGTACCCTGTTATGCTTCCTTTTATAATCTGTGATACTCTCTTTTACACCCTTAGGTGTTTTATATCCAGAAATGTGACCCTAGTTCAGGTTCCATTAGCTCTTGTGTCAGCTACCTACTGACTGTGGTCTATAAAATTCCCTGCTCCAAAGCAGCCTGGACCCCAGACTGGTGCTGGGGAGGATGGAGAGAGGGCACCAGTGCTCAGCTGCTCCAGCATGTGCTTTACCTGGCAGGGACTGCCAGGAGCTTGCTGGGCCTGGGGTCACTGTGGTTTTCCCATCTGCAAATCAGAGGTATCAGGATTCACCTGCTACCTGAGAAGCTCGGTGGGGCTACACACAAGTGACAGTAAGGGCAGGCATTATTATCATAATGTGTGTCCTACAAGTGCTTGAGGTAGGCACTGTGACAACTTCCCCTAGAATTTGTGTCCACTTGAACTGCTCTGTCTCTGTAATCACAGAGCAAGAATGGGCAGGTATGACTCTGATTCTTATCATGGAGGATTTAAACACAGCAATCACCCCAGCCCACCTCTTAGTATTCATCTTACTTATTAAAGCTTCCCAACAAGTCTCTGCAGTGATGTTATCTGCTAAATTGTGTGAGGTTTCTGATCATTAAGTGGATTGGTCTTCAAAGAGCTAAATGAAAATGAGCAATAAATATCAGTGTTACTTAGGTCATATGGTGCAAAATGACAAGGAGACCGAAAGACCTTCTGGCAACTGTCGAAAAACAAATATGCAATAGATTCACTAAAGCTTTTTGTGGGTTTCTGTAAAGTTTCTCATTCTTTTAATTAATTTTTTGAAAGCAAGTTAAAACGGAGAAGCAGGCACGGTCTTAAGAAGCAGGAGCTCCCTGAATCCCTCTGGCTGTTTTGTTCCGATGCTGTGACCTGAAGTGATGTACTTTTACTCCTGCACTAACTTTCCTCTCTGCAGAAGGGGCATTGTAATATTTATGTATGCTCTGGGGAAGGTATCATTATTATGGCAATTTCTCCAGTGCTTTGCACATAGACAGATGTATTTAAGAAGGTGAGCCTCCCGCTGGTGGGTGTAAACAGGAGCCTGAAGTTCTGCACCTGCAATTGTGTTTCCTGTATAAAACTGAGCACTTGTACCAGTAGCAACCTGACTGCAGAGATAAATGAGGCAGCAGTGGTTGCAGTAACTCCTGCTTGTATCTGTGTTTTCATTCATTTGGAAAAATAACCAGCCCCAACTGCTGCCAGGGCAGATTGTATCCTCAACCAAGTACTGTGAAACTCTTCCACTGCAAGTAATAATAAACGATTGCCTGATTTCTTAGATAGTATTTTAAGGACTTATTTTTACTCAGTGAAAAAGTAATGAAAAAGAAAAATCAAAATGCTGCGACTTCTTATGTCTTGATTACTCTTTTTAGTCCTTTTGTATAAAATTATGACAGCAACCTCTGTGAATGGTGGCTTTCTCCTTGCATAAGCAGCCTAGCCCTGGGAATATTGCTCTGGTGAAGCCACATGGTCCTCCTTTATATTGTGGCAAGGGAGCAGCTCTTGTTTTTGTAGCAAGAGCTCTGAGAGCCTGATTATCCATGTACACTCCAGCAAAGCAGGGACAAACTCCTCACCCCACTACAAACCCACTCACCCAGTTCTCAAAGCTTTTGCTCTGGCCAGGTGAAAGATTTTCCCTGTCTCTTCATGAGCTTTTCTCCTTCTCAAGAAGCAATAGTTGAGAGGGAGAATTCATCTTTTAATAAAATAACAAAACTTGACTGCACTCGTTTCTTTGTCTCTTTTGCTGCCTTATCTGTTGGCATCTCCTCTGTGGTGACTGAAGCACTCTTGAGTTAGAAGTGGGACCAAAAGGAAAGAGGAGATTCGATTCAAATAGGGTTGGAAGACTGAAGCAGAGAGAAATGGAAGAAAGTCAGTTTTTTAAACAGAGGAGAAAGAAGGCTACAACCTAAAATCCCACAGCCTGAAGGTAACAGTCATTTCCTATTTCTGTGAAGACTGTTGGGGTTTCTTTAAAGGAAGTGGGGGCTGGGGAGAGGACAGTTCCTGGTATTTTCCTCGGCTTAGAAAGCAGACAAAAGTCATCAGGCTTCCTACATGACTGAAAAGGAGTGTTACAGAAAGTGTGAGCTCTACTGTATGGCATCGTGTGCCACAGGGTCAGGTACTGCAGTGGTGGCTGTCAAGCAGACAAGGAATCTTTGCTCCTATTACACCCCACAGTTCTGTTCCCTCTGAATAAGGAAAAAACTCTACTTGGATTCTAAAATGATTCAGGGAAGGGTTGGAAGTGCCTTGACTGCATTCCTCCTGCTGCTTAAATCCTTTCCACCTGGGAGCGTGCAGTCCTCTGCAGCACAAGACCTTCCTAAAACATCTGGGCAATGGGCCACATCTGCTGTGTGGTGATGTGGACTAAATACATCTGAAACCTTTCTCCACCTTGGTAAAATCCTAATTCACAAAAGGTGCCAGCAACAAAAGAGTCAGTATGAGATTGGTGGAGAACACACGTTAATGGGTTTCAGAGGATCTTCAAACAGGGCTCAGAAACAAATCAAAGCAGTGCAAGGTAACTGTAAAATTTATTGTTCGAAATTAAATTATGGGATACTTGTTAAACATAATATTTTAAGCCTCCGTGGAAGCATCATAAGGCTTCTAAATTATTACTGTGATCAAACATGATATAAAATACTCCAACTCTCATTCTGCAGAGAGGAAAATCAGGCCCAATGCAGAGGGATGAAGGCTTGAATGTGTTTCCTAGGTGGGGACGTAAGGACACACATCACCTGGGCTCTCCTGTGATTGATGTCTGTCTCCTATCTCCCTTTTCCTGGTGAATATAGAGAATATCCATCTGCACAGCAGAGGGAGGGGGGCCAACTAGAGAAGTTTTTGTTGCTTTTATGGGATCAGATCTCTAGTAACTTGGACAAAGACACAGAACCGAGTGGCAGCATTAGGATGAATGCCAATGGGTTCTGCTCCCACCTTTCAGTTAATAGGTATTCAGCTGAGGAGGGCAGTTCTGTACAGGGAAAAATTCATTATGTAAATATGTACTGAGGTGAAGTAACCCAGAGTGAAGATTAGAGGGAAGAAAATCCTGGTCTTGGGTCTCAGCTCCTAAAATACGAAATTCTAAAGCTGAAATGGTTTGACTTGTGCTGGAGGCTGATGTGCAGGGCCCATGTTTTTAAGGATGTCATTTTGCATTTGTTGCATCAGTTAGGATTTACATAGCCTTCTATGAAATCTGGGCCATAAATGTTGATTTTAAACAAAGACATTTCCATAGGATCTTTACTGTCTGTGTAGTGGTAAAGTGCTATGAATAATTTTCCCCAGGTGCTTAAACAGGTGGTGTCTTCAAGGGAAGCAGGGCTTCTTTCATGTTCCCTATAATTTGTGCTGTCTTAAGCCCTCACTGTCAATGTCTTGGGTGAACATTTATGTTCCTTCCCCACAAAGATGCTGGATGCCCAGCTCCACGATTGGAATACAAGTGTTACAGTTATTTATTTACAGGGAAGGAAATAACACAGTGGCTCTATTTGCTGCTCCTAAATTTATTTTCTCTTCTTTTGTGCAGTGTAAAAATGTTAGTCATCTCCAATGGCCCTTGGAAATAAGCTTTCCAAATATATTCTCATACTCTATATAGATGCACTGATGACACTCCAGCAGTTCAGCAAGAGGAAATCTGAAATAGTGGCACTAAATGAGAAGGGAAAAAAATCACTAGGGAGAAAACTCTCCATAAAAGTCTGGGAATGATTATGGAGCATTGGGAAATGTTGCCAGTGCTGGACTACATGCTCACTGAGCCTTCATTTCTCAGACATCATCGATTAAAGGTGGATGGAAAAGTGCCATTCAAAAGAGGAGACTCACGAGCTTCAGCTTCTGTTTCCATCTGCTTTTGGGCTGTAAGTGCAAATCCATGTAACAAAATTGGGGTTTTTAATCTTGTATTTAGGGCTCAAGCAAAAGTGGCTGGGCTGAGGAGGGGCTGTGTCGTCACCATTAGCACATGATGCTCATGAAGCTGTGCCACCTCCATTAGGAGCTTCATTCAGACATGGGAAGCAAACTGTGGCAGCCAGGTTTGAAAATGGGGATTGAATATGATTGCAAGTTTCCATTTCCTCATTCAGTTTTTTACAAAGCCATAATACTTGCTTTCCTAAGAAACATGTGTCACGGACTTGGATTTATCAGCATTTTTAAAAGCAATGGATGTATATGCTTGCTGAGATCCATCAATTATGAGGGCATATATAAGCTGTTTAAACATTTCCATGTGGTTTTGGGGTCTCCCTCAGTGATGTTCCATGTCCATTATGTCCATGCTCATTTATTCTGACACACAGAGAATCCTCCCTGACTGATGACTCTGCAAAAGTGAGTGATTGACCTTTCCCTCGTGTGTGTGTGCAGAGATTATCCATCTGCACAGAAGGAAAGGGGAACTGCAAAGAGGTTTTGTGGGGGGCGGCACCTGAAAGAGTTTGTGCTGAGATGATTCAAGACACTGGTTGTTCAGCCAAAGGGCTCAAAGAAATAAGAGGCAGAAATATTGTAGTATACGAAAATACCACAAAATAAACAGAATCACACAGAATCAGAGAATATGCTGAGTTGGAAGGGACCCACAAGGATCACTGAGTCCAACTCCTGGCCCTGCACAGGACCATCACCTTTCCTTCTCCAGCCACATGTAGATCATCCCCTAGGATAATACTACATATATATATATTTATTTATATATACATATATTTATGTGTG